CTCGCTATGGCCTTTGACCGGTATATTGCAATTTGCAATCCACTGCATTATTCCTCCATCCTAACTGTTTCCATAATTATCAGAATTGGGCTCACCATATTAGGAAGGAGTTTCTTCTTTATTACACCTCCTATCATCCGTCTGAGACTCTTCCATTACTGCCATCCCCACATCCTCTCTCACTCTTTCTGCCTGCACCAGGATCTTCTCCGCCTAGCCTGTTCAGATATCCGATTCAATAGCTACTATGCCCTGATGCTGGTCATTTGCACACTGATGGTAGATGCTATTCTCATCCTCTTCTCCTATGTCCTGATTCTTAAGTCAGTTCTGGCAATTGCCTCTCAGGAGGAGCAGCATAAGTCATTCCAGACTTGCATCTCTCATGTCTGCGCTGTCCTTGTGTTCTATATCCCAATCATCAGCCTCACAATGGTGCACCGGTTTGGCAAGCACCTCTCTCCTGTGGTCCATGTCCTTATGGGCAACATCTACATCCTTTTCCCACCTTTGATGAACCCCATAATCTATAGTGTCAAGACCCAACAAATTCGTACCAGAATACTTAGAGTCTTTTCTCTTAAAAGAAATTGAAATTGAGATACTCAGGCAGGTCTTAAAAAAAAAAAAAAAAAGAGCAACAATAATAAATAAAATCTGTTGAAAAAAAGGAATAAATTTGTTACAATTAGAGCTTTAGCCTTGAGTCCANGGATCAGAGTTCCTTTGGGAAATCATTTGCCAAAAGCCTCAGGCATAAATATTCCCCTCTGCCTGTCACCAAGGAAGAAAAAGTAAGTAGCGGCTATGTCATCTGGAGTAGGAGAAAAAGGAAAATCTTCACAAAATACTATTTGGAGAAAAAACACATTTGGACACAACACAAAATGGGAATCATGGATACAAAGTGAGTACTGCAATGGACATATGATGCCTAAAGCCCAAAGAGGACTCTTCACTTCAAATGGTTAATTAACTGAAAGGAAGAAAATAATACTTTTTTGAGAGTCAACTCAACTAAAATGCAATTTTCATCAATAGCCCTGGGAAAATGTCCCAGGCAACATATCTATTCCTAAACTTAGCTTCCTACTCTTATTCATTTCTTCCATATTCATTTTTACTTATGGGATCTAAGAATATATTCATGTCCTGAAAGTGGATAAATAATAGCTTTTAAATGACACCAGAACAATGGTTCTTAAATGACTCCCAGGCAGCAGTTAATATGCCTCTGAAGAACAGACTTGCTCAGACATATTTTCTAAAGTTAGTTTTTAGGGTGATTTTTCTTACTTAAAAATTTCATCTAATTCTTCAGAAATTGGAGCATTTCTTTTCAAAAACACTCTCTCAGTATCTCAGTCCCAGAATGATTGCTTCAGTAAACACCAACATGAATTCCTCCTTCTTCTTCCTCACTGGATTTTCTGGGCTGGAACAGCAT